CTTTGGGATCACTACTCTGCTTCCATAGCACCCTGTGTCTGCACCTAATAGAGTATTTATCACAGTGTATTATTGTTAAGTGTTTAACTCCTCATTTTTCTTGAGGTTCTAGAAAGGAGATACCAAAATTTATTGAAATTTCTATTCTCCTGTCTTATAGAAGGCTCTTGAAAAGTGTTTGCTGAATTTAATAAAATTCCCTGACTTGTTGCTTTCCCAAGAAAGAGATCCTTTAACATATCCTCTCTCCTCCTCCTGTCAGCCAATTCTATTACCTCTACTCAGTCAGTTATTCTTATTGGAGTATAACTTCCATCACTTCCGCTGCAGTTCAACATCTTTTTTATCTCCAAGGGAAAACAAAAATCATTTTTGACCTCTTTTGAGAGATGGCAATACTGACCAAAAATTGTACCCTCTGAATCCCAGATTATCTCTCCTTCTCAATTTGTAAGACTAGGTTATAGTTGGGGAGGGGAGGGAGATTTAGGTACCCTCTCCTGGAATGCCTGGGAGTTTGAAAAGATTTTCTAGTTGATAAACCTGTTTGCTAATCTCAAAACAAGCTGGAGTTGAGGGACCAGAGAACTTGCAAATATTGGCCCCTTATAGTACCACCTAGTGGACAATAAGAAACTAACACATGGGCTCTGAGCCCATGAGGGTAAACTGGCCAGTCCTAAAATATCTCACTTCTAGATCCCTAAATCTTTGTTATTTATATAAGGGCATCAGCCCAGCCTTGTGGCTTAGCATTTGAGCATCAACCCATGCACCAAGAGGTCTCAGGTTCGATTCCCGGTCAGGACACATGCCCAGGTTGTGGGCCTGATCCCCAGTGGGGGACATGCAGGAGGCGGCCAATTGATGTTCTCTCTCATTGATGTTTCTATCTCTATCTCTCTTCCTCTCTCTCTAAAATTAATAAAAACATATATATATGGGAATCATCTGCAAGGATGAAAGAAATTCCAAATAAATAGTAATATAGCTTCAGGAGTAAAAAGAAAGCCAGGGGCTAATTTACTTTGCCATAAGCTACAAGGGTCCAATGGGAAAATAATTAAACTAATATCCTTCCACCCCACCCACTCCAAACATACAGACCAGAGGAGTGTGTGTGATGCTTCAGACCCTCAGTATTGATTTTATTAGTGGCTTTCAAATTTATTTTCCTGCAAACCAAAGTACAGAATATTCCTTACTTCTGAAACAAAATTACCATGAGCCATATTTACCCTTATTAAGCATCAGTCTCTGCTATTTTCTATACTGGTCACAACTTCCTAAATTCACTTCATTACCCATATTTAGAAAAACACAAGCTTATGTGCAAATTTTCATCCTAGATCAGGTGATTAACACTGGTTTTATGTAAGGAAACGTGATCCTGAAAAATTGAAAGCAAATTCACACGTACCATTCGTGTTGTCAAGCCTATTACATACTTGCTCTTCTCTCCTTGCCTTTCTTGAGATGCAAGTCATGGTCTTGTTCAAAATCGAACTCCACCACTAAACCTCTCCATCCCCCAAATTAAAATAAATTCTTTCTTAGCTCTCCCTCAACACATTGCCGATACCATTACCAAAGAACTTAACTAAATCTGTCTAGCACTTAATTTGTGATTTGTATAACTTCCCAAGGATATTTTTCCATTTTTGTTCAGATAGAGTGGGAGAGAGGGAGAGGAAGAAAGGGAGAGAGAAACATTGACGTAATGGACACATTGACTGGCTGCCTCCCTGAGGACTCCAACCAGGGCCGGGAATGATCCGCAACTGAGGTACATGCCCTTGACCAGAATTGAACCCGTGACACGTTGGTCCTTGGGCCGATGCTCTAATCACTGAGCCAAACCGGCCAGGGCTTAATAGCTTTCTTTTTTTTTTGTTCAGACAGAGTGGGAGGGAGAGAGAGAGAAACATCAATGTGAAACGGACACATCGAGTGGTTGCCACCCACATGACCCAACCAGGGCCGGGGACAAACTGCAACCGAGGTACATGCTCTTAGCGGGAACCGAACCCGGGTCTCTCCGGACCGCAGGCCGACGCTCTAACCGCTGAACCAAACCGGCCAGGGCCTTAATAGCTTTCTTAAATGAAGGTTTTACAATTCATTAATTGCATCCCTCCCAACTAGCACAATGACTGACAGAACCCAACAAACATCAAAATAAACATTAATCAAACCACTAAAGACACAGGAAAGTTAAAGGTTTACTGAAGTGAATCCTTTTGCAAAGCAAATAAAGTCTCCTTAATAATGGTTCTTAAAGTATAGATTCCTGCCCTGGCCAGTTTGGCTCAGCAGTTAGAATGTCGGACGGTGGACCAGAGTCCCAGGTTCGATTCCCGCTAAGGGCATATACCTCGGTTGCAGTTTGTCCCCAGCTCCGATTGGGGTCATGTGGGTGGCAACCAGTCGATGTGTCTCTCTTGCATGGATGTTTCTCTCTCTCTCTTCCTCCCTCTCTCCCTCCACTCTATTTGAAGATTAATGCAAAAATGTCCTCGGGCGAGGATTTTTTTTAAAAAAGTATAGATTCTTCTAAAACATCTAAACTTACAAAACATCAAACACTGGCCTGAACACTGGCCCGGCTGGTGTGGCTCAGTGGTTGAGCATCGACTGATGCACCACGGGGTCACCAGTTCAATGCCGTCAGGGCACATGCCCAGGTTGTGGGCCAAATCCCCAGTGGAGGGCATGATGGACGCAGCCAATCGATGTTCTATCTCATTGATGTTTCTATCTCTCTCTCTCTCCCCCACTTCCTCTCTCTCAAAAAAAAAAAAAATCAATAAAGAAAAAAATTTAAAAACCAAAAACAAAGCATCAAATACCTACATGTAAGTCAATTACATCTTGTTTATAAAATCCTTATAACTGTGTAGAGGTCCTACACAAAGGAGCTCAGGCTTTGGTTTCACACTGGGGTGCCTGGTCAAGTCCTCATTAACTGCTCATTTGTGCAAGGTACAAATTATTTCTCCTCTTCTTTCTCTGTGTGGCTTGTAGTCTCATTCAGTCAAATACTGGAGACTTTATTATGCACTGGGATGCAGTGATGAGAAACAGTCCCAAGACTTGAGGCACCCATTATTTAATGAGGAAGAGGGTCTAACAAGTAAACAAGCATGACAACATAATATAATATATACCACTACAAAGAAAAATGCGAATGATAAGAGAGGCACCTAAATTAGTATTTCAGGGTAATGGAAGTCTTCCCAGAGAGGATAACATTAAGGAACCAAAGGATAAGAAAGGTGACTAAGGAGAGGGGGTCAGGAAGAGAATTTAGGCAAAGGAACCAGCAAGGGTAAATGTCTGAGGCTCAGAAAATGTGGCTAATTTGATGAACTGAAAATAGTTCAGTAAAGTTGGAGCAGTTTGACCAGAACCGACAAATGACAAGAGATGAGGCCAGATTGAATGGGACCTTTTGAGTCAGGCTAAGAACTCTAAACTCCTGAAATAGGTCATTACAGCTGACTTCCCTCTGTTGATTTCTACATTAGCAGCTGACTAGAAAGAACGATTGTGATATGTGAGGGTATGGAAATCAAGAGGATATACCAAAATTAAGTGACAGCTTTTGGGGCTATAAATTCCTTTACTTATATCATTAGTTTGCCCCACAATACTATCCTGGGGTGGCATCTGATGAGGTAAAATTTCAGATGATCTGCCCCAGTAAAGCTGTGAAGTAGGTTGATTACCTAAGAAACAGTAAGGGCAATACAAAGACCCCATTGCTATGCAACACAGTGATGACACATGCAAATTAACATGTCAAATGAAATTTGTTCTAAGTTTCATTTTATTATAACACTAATTTCTGTTCACTTAAATCTGAGCAAACATGTAGAAATCAGTGTTGCTAATTTGGTTATACATTCATAACTGTTAAAAATTAAAAGGAATTGCCGTGGCTGGTGTGGCTCAGTTGGTTAAACGTTGCCCGTGCACCGAAAAGTCACTAGTTCGATTCCTGGTCAGGGCATATACCCAGGTTGTGGGTTCAATCTCTGGTCGAAGCTCCTTTGGGAGGCAACCAATTGATGTTTCTCTCTCTCGCTCCCTTCCTCTCTCTCTAAAGTCAATAAAAACATATTTTAAAAAAATTAGCCAGCCAGTGTGGCTCAGTGGATTGAGCATCACCTGATGCACCAAGAGGTCACCAGTTCAATTCCTGATCAGGGCACATGCCCAGGTTGCAGGCTCGACCCCCATTAGGGGGGGTGCAGGAGGCAGCTGATTGATGTTCTCTCTTCACTGTTTCTCTCTCTCCCAATATCTCTAAAAATATCAATTAAAAAACACTTTTAGGCCCTGGCCAGTTTGGCTCAGCGGTTAGAGCATTGGCCTGTGGACCAGAGAGTCCCGGGTTTGGTTCCCGCTAAGGGCATGTACCTCAGTTGCAGTTTGTCTCCGGCCCTGGTTGGGGTTGTGTGGGTGGCAACCACTCGATGTTTCTCTCTCACATCGATGTTTCTCTCTCTCTTCCTCCCTCTCTCCCTCCTGCTCTATCTGAAGATAAATGCAAAACTGTCTTTGGGTGAGAATAAAAAAATAAAAGTAAAGTATACATCTTAAAAACAACAACAACACTTTTAGCCCTGGCCAGTTTGGATCAGCGGTTAGAGCGTCAGCCTGTTGACCAAGGAGTCCCAGGTTCGATTCTGGCCAAGGGCACCTGCCTCGGTTGCGGTTTGTCCCTAGCCTGGGTTGGGTTGTGAGGGTGGCAACCAATTGATGTCTCTCTCACATCGATGTTTCTCTCTCTCTCTCCCTCCCTCCCTCCCACTCTGTCTGAAGATAAATGTAAAAATATACTCAAGTGAGGATTAAAAATAGAGAGAGAGAGAAAGTGAAAAAAAACACACTTTTAAAAAATTAAAAGGAATTATTACTCCCAAAACTTGTCTTCCTGTGCCAAACTGATGGGGGTAAAATACCTACCAGAAGCTGAAAAGAAAGAGGCAAAGCTAGACAATTTGTCTACTTGTTTATTCTGTTCTTTAAAAAAAAAAAAAAAAAAAAAAAGGTCAGGGATGGAGGGGGAAATAAGTCATAAACACTGTGAACAGGAACCAAGACTTGGGCGTACTTCCCCTACCCTTACCCTCAGTTCTCAGAGATTCCCACCCACCCAATTTTCTTTTGAACGAGATACCCAAATCAGCGGCAAAGGAAACTGGGGCAGTCAGCGGGATTTTTGAACACTGGGAATGCAGGGGGGAAAAGTCCAAAAAATAGGAGTTTGGAAGAAAAGGAAAGGAATGAAGGAGAGGCTAGGCTCTGGAGGACAGAGCTGGGCTATGAAAGATGAAACTGAGCCAGTACTGGGGGGGACCCCTCCTGACTGCTGTTGCTCATGTTCTCCAGGACCCCAGAAAGCCCCATGGTTTGTTCTGCAGTCCACTCCCTATTCCCCAAAGGCCTCACAGGCCGAGCTCCAAGTCCTCAAGCTCCTCCTCCAGCACCCTCCTCCTTGCTAGCTTCTCCAGCTGCTCTTTGCTGGGCTGGCTGATTTCTCCAGCCTGGATCCGTTGCTGCAACTCTTCCACCTGCCGAAGCTTCTTCTTTAGGTTCTTTATCTTCTTGGCCTTCTCGGTGGTGGCAGCTGGGTCAGGCTGGTCAGAGGCAGATGTAGGGGCTGCTTGGGAGCCCTGTGGAGCACTGGGGAGTTGAGCTGCGTCTCCCAGGGACATCTTATCCAGAGTCCGGCTCAAGGCCTCTGCCTCCCCTTTCTCATGCTGCTGCCGCCTCTTCTCCTTCCGCTTCAGGTTGCGTTTGGCTGTCTTAGAGAGGCCTGACTCACCACCTTCAGGCCTTGATGGGTTGACAGGAGCAGTGGCCTCGGGGCTCAACCCTGGAGGCAGTTCTGGTTTACTCTTGAAAAACTTCACATACTTGTTCTCATACCTGCAGGAAACAGAAGATGACAACAGTCAGAGAATCACTGAATTTAGAGCCCTCTTCTTAACCTTCCAAATCACTTTACTACCCCTTACACCTTTCTGCTTGCTTCCTCTCTCTCAGTCCCTACCCAACTTTCCTCTGCTTTGCAGATTGTAGGAGGGCCCTAGGTCTCAAAACTCTGGATATCTGAGTGTTATTTGTAGGTTCTGATGAACAGAGACTATAGGAATAAAAATAGTCACTTGTAATCCTCATTCATCCCTATATCCCAACCCCTGCCCCTCCTTTCATTCCTGGGATTTGGGCATCAAGAGATTCTTCCCTGAACTCATAGGCATACATGTTCTTTCTTTCTGTAGAGACCCCATTAAATACCCCCTCCTCATGCCTAACCACGCACACTGGGACCTCCTCCTGGGGCACATAGCCTTCTTTCACCCTCCGCTGCTTGCGCCAGGTCCCGTCGGGTCGCTGTGTTGAGGCAATGTACTTGCCTGAAATGAGAGAATTAAGTTGGAGAGTTACTCTAATTGTCAAATAGTTCCCAAGATGAAAAGAATGCATGAATGCACACAGCTTCCCTCAGCATCCATTGGGCCACTAAATGGAACCATTAATGTATCTTTTTCTCATATAAACCCTCAATCCTGCTCTGGTCACTATTTACTAAGTGTCTACATATACACTGTAAATCACACTACCCCTGGTCTCAGGGAGTTTCTATTTTCTATCTAGTTGGCAAGACAAGACAGGCACAGAGGAAAAAATTTTTAAACACAAGACAATAGCATGTGGACATCAAAAGACAGTACATGGCTAAGAGGTTAAAAAGGAGTTAAATGACCAGAGAAGATGATTTAAGAAGGAAAAGTTTTATTAAGATGGATTGTTAAAAAAAAAAGATGGATTGTGAAACACAGGTCAATTTTTAGGAATCCATACTATAGATATAGAAGCATCAATGCACAAGGATATATGTAAAGAATGTTTGTTGTGCCCTGGCCAGTGCGGCTCAGTTGGTTGGAGCATATCCCATAAACTGAAAGGTCTCAAGTCTGATTCCCAGACAGGGCACATACCCAGGTTGCGGGTTCCATCTCTGGTGGGGGTATGTATGGGAGGCAACCAATGTTTCTCTATCACATCAATGTCTCCCTTCCTCTCTCTCTCTCTAAAAATCAATAATAATAAAAAAAACATATCCATGGGCGAGGATTAAAAAAACGTTTAAAGTAAAAAGAATAATAATAAAAATTAAAAAAAAGAATGTTTGTTGCTGTGTTATTTAAATTAACAAAAAAATGAAAGCAACCTGAAAGGCCATCAACAGATGGATGATTGACTAGATATGGATCATCCCTATAATGGAACACCATGCCTCTTATGGAAAAGAATTTTATTGTTTGTTTTTTATCCTCACCTGAGGACACTCTTTTTTTTGTTGTTCAGACAGAGTGGGAGGGAGAGAGAGAGAGAGAAACATCGATGTGAAAGGGACACATCAAGTGGCTGCCACCTGCACGACCAACCAGGGCTGGGGACAAACTGCAACTGAGGTACGTGCCCTTAGCGGGAACCAAACCCGGGTCTCTCTGGACCACAGGCCGACGCTCTAACCGCTGAGCCAAACCGACCAGGGCTATTGTTTGTTTTTTTAATCCTCACCTGAAGGTTTGTTTTTATTGACTAGAGAGAAAGACAAAGGGAGAGGGAAGGAGGAGAGAGAGAGAGAAACATCGATGTGAGAAACATCAACTGGTTGTGGGAGTAAAACCCACAACCTGGGTGTGTGCCCTGACCAGGAATCAAACCCACAACCTTTTGATGTACAGGATGACATTCCAACCAACTGAGCTACACCAGCCAGGGCTGGAAAAGATTTTTAGATATAAATACACTGACCTTAAATGGTGTTCTCAACATACTAAGTGAAAAAGCAAGTCACAGGAAAATAGGTAGTGATCCTCAAACATTTTTTTTTTATTATTTATTTATTTATTTATTTAATCCTCACCGGAGGACATTTTTTTCCAGCTTTTGTTTAGATAAAGTGGGAGGGAGAGAGAGAGAGAGAAACATCGAGGTGAAAGGGACACATCGAGTGCTCACCACCCACACAACCCAACCAGGGCCGGGGACAAACTGCAACTGAGGTACGTGCCCCTAGCAGGAACTGAACCTGGGTCTCTCTGGACCACAGCCCAATGCTCTAACTGCTGAGCCAAACCGGCCAGGGATCCTCAAACATTTTTAATTTTAGGATTCCTGTTACACTCTTATTTTGTAATATTATGTATTTAACAATGCAATATAAAAAAACATTTATTAATACCATCAGAAAAGTCTTTATTGGGAAACTGTCAAGCTCACAGTGCAGATACAAGTTTTCCAAAATTCTAATGTTCACTTGAATCTTATCACAGGCAATAATAGACACTGACAGTTGTCTTCCTTGAGACGACAGGCTCACTTCTTTCATTTTCAGGAAAGTGCCTATCAGATATCCAGGTCTGAATTACCAGTTTCTTAGTGGTTCTTTCAAGTAAAAATGGTGTTCTATGAAAAGGAAGCTTTTTAGCTTGCAACTGGGACACCTGCACCAGCACTTTTCTTTTTATATGTTTTTACTGATTTTTTAGAGAGCAAGGAAGGGAGAGAGAGAAACATCAATTGGCTGCCTCCTGCACACCCCCTACTGGGGATTGAGCCTGCAACCCAGGAATGTGTCCTGACTGGGAATCAAACCAGGACCTCTCAGTCCATGGGACGATGCTCAATCCACTGAGCCACACTGGCCAAGCACAAAAGCACTTTTCCTTGAGATATCATTTACAGTGTGTGACTCATGTTTACTTGTCATTGAGTCCACAGAGAACATTAAAAAGATGTATAACTTTCATGCCCTGGTCAGTGTAGCTTAGTCGTTAGAGTGTAGGCCCATGCACTGAAGGGTTGCAGGTTCGATCCCCGGCCCAAGTCAGGGTAAGTGTGGGAGGAAACTAATTGATGCCTCTCTCTCACATTGATGTTTCTCTCCCCGACCCACCCAATATTGTATTGTATATTTGAAATTTGCTATGAGAGTAGAGCTTTAATATTCTCTCCGTAACAACAAAATGGTAACCCTGTGAGGTGAAGGATGTGTTAACTAACCTTATTGTGGTAAACATTTCACAGTATATACAAACATCCAATCATCACACTGTATACCTTAAACTTACAAGTTATATGTCAATTTTATCTCAAGAAAACAAGGAAAAACTCATAAACAAAAATGTGTATTCAAGGGCCAGGATTTAATCAAATTAATTTTTATTACATCATCAAGGATATTAAGTGAAAAACTGGCATTATTTACTGCAAGCACATGGCAGTGAGGAATACTAGTACAGTTGGTGCCACCACCTTGATTAGTGCTAAGGGGTCAGCAGTTTTACCCACCTCTGCTTTTGTACATCAGTGAAAATGTTGACCCAACTAACAGGCAAATAACATCTTATGATGTTATTATGTATTATGAAAATAGTTATGCTTGCAGACCTCTGGAAAAGGTCTTAGGGAACCTCCAAGTGTCCTGAACATTTGAGAACCCTGGTGTAGATTATGCTCCAATTCAAGGAGCAGCATTTAAAGGTCCATAGCGTCTGTGTTAGGGGCAAAGAGAAAGGTGTGGGAGGGCACATACCAAGATACCAAACCTTTAATGCTAGTTATTTAAGAGGGATAACTTGGCCCTGGCCGGTTTGGCTCAGCGGTTAGAGTGTTGGCCTGCGGTCCCGAGAGACCCGGGTTCGGTTCCCGCTCAGGACATGTATCTCAGTTGCAGTTTGTCCCTGGCCCCGGTTGGGGTCGTGTGGGTGGCAGCCACTCGATGTGTCCCTTTCACGTCGATGTTTCTTTCTCTCTCCCCCTCCGAATAAAATTTAAAAAAAAAAGAGGGATGACTTGGAAATAGAGGTGGTAGAAACCATTAATATTGTAACATGAGCCCTGGCTGGTTTGGCTCAGTGGTTAGAGCATTAGCCCGTGGCCCAGAGAGTCCCGGGTTCGGTTCCCGCTAAGGGCACGTACCTTGGTTGCAGTTTGTCCCCAGCCCCCCTTGGGGTCATGTGGGTGGCAACCAGTCGATGTGTCTCTCTCACATCAATGTTTCTCTCTCTTCCTCCCTTTCTCCCTCCCGCTCTATCTGAAGATAAATGCAAAAATGTGCTTGGGTGAGGATATATATATTTATGTTATATATATAACAGGGCATGAACCCTGGCTGGTTTGGCTCAGTGGTTGGAACATGGGCCTGAGGACCGAAGGGTCTCAGGTTGGATTCTGGTCAGGGGCACATGCCTGGGTTGCAGGTTTCCCTGGCCCCAATCTCTCTCTCCCATTCTCTCTCTTCCTTCCTCCCTTTCTCCTTTCCTCTCTCTCTAAAAATTAATGGAAACATATCCTCGGGTTGAGGGCTAACAAAAGTAAGTAAATAAATAAAAAAAAATTTAATTAAAACTAAAAAATATATTAAATAGGTAAGACTTGATAGCTAAAAGGGATGAGAGAAAGAATAAATATGAGCAAAGAAAGGCATGGATGTGGGAGTGGGCATGGAGTATTTTTTTTTTATTATTGATTTTAGAGAGAGAGGGAGAGAAACATCAATCTGTCACTCTACCCATTCACAGGTTCTTTTTTAGATTTCTGTTGTTAATCCTCACCAAAGGATATTTTTCCATTGAGTTTTCTTTTTTTTAGAGAGAGTGGAATGGAAAGAGAGAGAGAGAGAGAAACATTGATCCGGAGATCGAACCTGCTACTCAGGTATGTGCCCTTGACTGGGAATTGAACCCAAGACCCTTTGGTGCATGGGGCCAACACACTAACCAACAGAGCAATCCATCCAGGGCAGCATGGTATTTAAAAAACAGAAAGCAGAGGAGTCCAGACAAATCACAGTTCATTTTAGGGAATAACAGGAAGCCAGGATGGAAATAAAAAGTGGGGCCAGATTTTGGAAAGCCTCAAAAACAAGGTCAAGGAATTTGGAGTTTTATCTTATAAATAAGAAAGAATAAAGATACTGTTTGCTTAGCTGTGACAGTTTAGAGACAAGAGTTAAATTGCTTCTTGGCCTTTTGGCTAAGATCAAGTATAGAGACAAGAATAAAAACTGAGAGGCTTCAAGGAGGGAGAGCTTAGTCTAGAATGGGGCTTTGAAGAAGCAATAAAAAATCGAGAAAAGGAAAGCAGTTTAGATTCTAACCAGAAGCTCCTTCTAAAACAAAATTTCACACATGGTAATGTAGATGGCGTGTTCAGGAGATGGTGAATAGACCAGTCTGGCTGGGTCAGAGCACTAGTGTGAAAGTAAATGAAGAAAGGATGTTCATACCTGGAAATGCCAGTTAAGAGATTTAATATCTGGTGTGTGGTATGCATTCAATAAGGATCTGTCAAACAAATAAATCTTATATCCAAAGCAGTGCTTTAGGGCAATTAATCTGAC